CGAGGGAGCTTCTCCCCCGAGCCCGCCAATCATTCGCTTTACCAGACGTAACCACGTATCGAGCACCAGCTATCCTGAGGGAAACTTCGGAGGGAACCAGCTACCAGATGGTTCGATTAGTCTTTCGCCCCTATACCCAAGTCTGACGAACGATTTGCACGTCAGTAGCGCTGCGGGCCTCCACCAGAGTTTCCTCTGGCTTCGCCCTGCTCAGGCATAGTTCACCATCTTTCGGGTCCCAACGCGACTACTCAACGCACCCCGGGCGCCGAGGCCCCCGGGGCGGTCCGTGGTGCGGGCAGCACGAGGCCGCCTTCTCACGGGTCGCTTTCACTGTCGCCATTGTGGTTTTCAACCCATTGGCTCGCAGCCGCGTTGGCCTCCTTGGTCCGTGTTTCAAGACGGGTCGCATCAGCCCGTTTCGCCAGCGCCGACCCGTGAGGGCCATCCTCGGTCTCCGCCGCGGTGGGAGCGAGCTCCTTTTCCCGCGGCATCGACCGGCGCTGCGTACCTCCGGGCCCCGCGTGAACGGGTCCCGCAGGTTTGCTTGGGCTCATGCGCTTATCCTCCTGACGATTTCAAGCACTTTTTACTCTCTTTCCAAAGTTCTTTTCATCTTTCCCTCGCGGTACTTGTTCGCTATCGGAAACCTGGCCGTATTTAGCCTTGGATGGAGCTTACCACCCATGTTGGGGCTGCACTCCCAAGCAACCCGACTCTTCGGATGCGCCTCGTGAAGTGACGGGTCGTCGCCCGACGGGGGTGTCACCCTCTCTGCCGCCACTTTCCAGTGGACTTAAGGCGGCGCCCGTCACAGAGAACGCTTCCTTTTCAGACTACAATTCGGAGGGCCGGAGGCCCTCGGATTTCAAGCCTGGGCTTTTCCTTGGTCGCTCGCCGCTACCAAAGGAATCACGGTTGTTTTCTTTTCCTCCGCTTAGTAATATGCTTAAATTCAGCGGGTAGTCTCGCCTGACTTGAAGCCATCGTTTGGGGGTTTGCCCGGTTCTTCCCCGGTCCGACCATTTTTAGTACGAGCCCCGTCCGCCCCTCGCCCGGTCTGTGCGCGCTACTTTGGAGGGCGGAGACCGAGGGTTGCCACACCCTCGGCTCCATTTTTCCGTTTCGCGGCCTTCTCGGGAGAGGAAAAGAGGACCGGTTTGGCATCCGATACCCCCCCACCTGCTGGGAGGTCCGGACGGGGTCCGTTGGCCGGCTGGGTTCACCGAGCCCAGCGGGGTCGCCACCCGCCTCGTCGCGCTCGTCCCGCTCGCGTCCTCCCGGTTGGCATCCGGGGATCTGCACTGGGGTCGAGACGGAGAGGAGACGGGCTTGTGGCGGCCCTGCGATTTCAGCCGACTGCCCCCCGTTGTGCACGGGTTGCGACGGCCATCTCGTTTTCCCAGGTACGGGCGATTGTCTCGGGTAAACCCGAGCGCCCCTCGTATGCCACGCATTTTGGCAGTTCCGTCCCGTTCACCCCGCCGCACGTAGCCGCGTGCGGAGGGTGTGGGTGCGGATGCGTGGCTCCACCTGGATGTGTGTGGCGTTCAAGCAGACGTGCCCTCGGCCGAGGCCTCGGGCGCAACATGCGTTCAAAGTTTCGATGATTCACGGAGTTTTGCAATTCGCATTACGTATCGCATTTCGCTGCGTTCTTCATCGAGCCAGGTTCCAAGATATCCATCGTCAGGAGTGGGGTCCCAGTTTTTATTAGGTGCCGGGGCTCATGGGGGCCCCGCTCAAGGGGAGGGTTTTGCGATCGGACGGCCAGTCCCGATCGCGGAGAGGTCTATATCCCGTGCCCGTTCGCGGCTCCTTGATGCACTGCGACCGGACCCGGCTGAGAAACGGTCCCTTGCCATTGCCACGGGCGCCCCTTCCCAGCCAACCGAAGAGGATTTCGGAAGGCCGGGCGAGCAAGACCCCGCAGTCACACCAGCCGGTGCCAAGAGAGACGGAGCACCGGTGGCGGGGGACGCTAGGTAGGAGGAGGATTCCAACAAGCCAATTTTATGAGGATACGTCCTAGGTCAGGCATCGAACTTCCCGGTGCTTCCGCTTTTGGGAGGAGTCCGATCTGTTACCATCGGGGGAAAGGGATTTGTTTTTTGTTCCGCATGGACGCCCGGTGCCGCCGGGAAGCAGGCTCCCTGGTGTCGAGGTTCGTCGAGATCCGGGATGGAGAGGACGTCGGGTGCCACCCCGCCGCCCAAACCGACCGTACTCGCGACTTGCCTCGCTCCCGATCACTACTAGCCTTTGGGATGGCGGGCCTACTGAGCTAGTTTCGTGGGAGGGGACTGCGACCTGATCTCCTGCAAGAGGAGCTCGCCCGGTCCCTCCGGTGCTGCGAGCAACACACGGAGAAAGCCGAGGGCGGTCGTTACGTCACTCGTTCTTAGGAGCGGTTGCCAAGGTCTGGGATCAACCGAGGCGGTGCTCCATGCCCGTCGGGGTGCGCCTTCCTTTCAGCACCACAACGAATCCATCGGTGCTC